ATCCCAGGATGGGCGCATCCTGAGGAATAGATCGGTGCACAAACAACTAATAACGATCTACTTACAAACTTTAAGTAGGTGAACTTACCCACGAAAATTCCGGTTTTCTGTTTGTCGGCCGACGACCGAGTAGGGATTGGATGGTAGCATTGAACTACCGAGAGGTCCTCGGAAGGCCACTGCATTAAATAACCTCTAAAGTCGGTATACTAAGCACAAATGGCATTCCAAATTAACCACGGGAATAATCGCCCGCTTAAGTAGGATAAATTACACAATCCTCGACCTTCTTAACTCTGCTAAGGTTTATTCCAGTTGCGTTAGTGACCCTAACAGAAAATGTACCTCAGCGACCTCGCCCGGAGTGAGGGCACACTCATCCGACATACAAGCGCTCCCCGTTGGTCCGGTGGTGAGTTAGCGATGACATTAAAGCGTGCTTCAGTGCCCTCGCCCGAGGTTTGAGTACGCGCCCCAACTGACCGAGCGTCAGGCTGCAATAAAATTTTCACCTTTGTTCCAGATTCCTTGGTGTCTATAGTTTAAGGCCCCCTTAATTGTAAATTATCACAGATAACACTCTCCAACTTTCCGTAACGACTACTTCTGTTACACTTCTGTCGTGTTTTTCTTTTTTTCAGGATCTGGGCTGGATGCCATTCGTTTTGAGCTGGCTGGCGCTGCGCGAGAACCGTTCGGAACAGGCCAACCTCCTCATCCTCTTTGAACGCTACGTGCCCATCTGTCTGGAGGCGCTGAAAACGCGCTTCAAGAAGATCATCCCCATTGTTGAGATCGCGCATGTACAGATGCTGTGCTACCTCTTGGACGCCCATCTCATCCGGGCCAACACGCCTGCCGACAGTCCCAACGAACTCTACGAGTTGTACTTTGTTTTCTGTGCCGTCTGGGCCTTTGGCGGCGCCCTATTCCAGGACCAGCTGATGGACCATCGTGTGGAGTTCTCCAAGTGGTGGATAGCAGAGTTCAAGAACGTGAAATTCCCCAGCAATGGCTCTGTTTTTGACTACTTCATTGACCCTGAGTCCAAAAAGCTTGAGCCCTGGTTGAAACGCGTTGAGGAATTTGCTCTGGATCAGGATATTCCACTTCAGGTGAGTTTTTTACAATTTACACAGTTAGAGCACATTTTGGTATCACATAAAATCCCGAGAAGATTACCCCGGTAGATTTGTTACATTAATTATCGGATAGCATAATCCCAAAATGTTTCGATCATGTCGGAGATGCCGGCTTTTTGGACGAGCTTCTTTGTGGCTGTCCACAAAAACTGCATTGTGTAAAAATGGCTACTTAATTAGTACGCACTGCCTTGGTAAATTCAAATGACTTGTGACCCAAAAATATTCCTTCTAGCACATCACGTCTTCTTCCAATTTTATCCTTCGAGAAGGGCTATATTTCGGTTACTAAAAACTTTTCCAATTACTAAATAATTTTGCTCTTGATGTGCCTTTACGCTTCTATTCAGGGTCTCCAAAATCAAGGCCGTATACAGTCCGTCTAAGCAGAATCGCACCATGCTCTACTTTATAAGGAAGAAGTCAGATGAGAGAAAGCGAGAGACATCCGCTTTATTTTGACAATATAGTTTCATAAATCTCAGTAAAAACGTCCTCAAATCCACCCTGAAACAAACCTAGGCAGACAAACCACATAACACCGGGAGATCGCAGACAACGTATAAAATCAAACACTGTAATTGCCAGCATCACGACGAATCGTCCCTGAATGCCTCGCAAGTTTTGGCAAAACTGGACTTCCTTCAAAATGGCGCTGGCATCATGCACTAATGACCTCATTGCTTTAGTTCGAATGAACAAGTGGGGGATAAAATCGGTTTATAATGGGCGCAACAAGCCAACCGAGGTATACATAAGAAATTTACATGCGAATGGAGAACTGTGTAAAATGGTGTCTCCGTTTCAAAAGTCCACCAGCCCTGTTGTGTGGCCTTTCTGTGCGGAGCTATATACCGACACAGCCACCTTCGGAATGTCCGGTCCTGTTTTGCTAGTCAAACCCCTTCAAATATTGCTCGTTGTGCTCCAACTCCCATTATCATCACTATCACCAGAAGGTAAGGCAGCTCAACGAATGAAACATGCGTGTGCAGATGCAAGTGAAACAAAACACAAGGCCGGAAAAGATTTTTTCCCTGTCATTTTCTATCGTCTGAAGACTTTTTTATTTCGTACAAAGAACTCCTAACACTGATTGCATTGAGAAGAAGAAGACTCAATCGCTGGGACAATATGTTTATTCGCCGGACGTTTCGACATCCGTCGCGGATTCATCATCAGAGACATTAGTAGCAGAAGCTGATTGCATTCCTATTTGATTATTCCGTCGCCCCCCACAACCTCCGAGGTCAAGCGTGCTTCTGTAGCATTCCTTCTTAGGGTCAGTCTATTGTCCCCTGTTGCTGCTGCGGGTCAGCCTCCTTATCAGTCCACAAAATTTTAACTGCAGTCAGTATCAGTCAGTATATTTGGAGTAAATGACCGAAGCCCTTAAAAACTCCATAGAAATGGTACAGTAATGCATAAGTTTTTGTGAAATATGCAAACATTGTTACAGATCGCTTTTGTTCTAGTCTAATTCT